TTATTGCATCACGAAAAGCAGAATTTTTCTGTTGTAAATTGGAAAAATAAATGATTAATTCCACTGTAAAACAGATTTAAGATTTGAAAATAATGAACTTATGGAGGAGGTGCTTATTTGATATGGAAGCATATTGGATTCATGATCATGGCTTTTTAATTTGGAGCTGGATCATTACTTTGGAATTTAATCATAAGAGAATGGCAGATGATTTTCTATATTTTATATTTCCAGGATGGCACTGTGTCTTTCTGGAATGGCAATCTTGATTTGAAGAGAGTCAGGTCCATTGTGGTAAGATGGGAACATTTTGTCTGTTTCTGTAGCTGTGTGATGTAAAACATTTAATAAATCCGTAGTGATATTTTCTTTTGAAGTGAACTGGTGGCTAATCCAAAATGTGTATGTAATATGGAGGAATTTTTATAAAAAAATTATTAATTTCATTATGTGTTTTGTAAAAATTTTAGTAACATAACTGTATATTGAAAATAAATCAAGATGTTTTTAATATTGTTTTGATGGTGTTCTATCATGGTATTGACAACTATTAAAAATTAAGCCTTACCTTTTACTCTGTTGAACAGCCCAATGACCCTGCCATGAAACCCAAGCAGAAGTGGATCACAGACATGGTCCTGATGCCACAGTTTAACAAAATCATTGTTGTCACAGGGTAAGACTATCCCATTCAACACACACACACCCCTGCACTTTAAAAAATATACTTATCTGTCAGTGCATGCTGTATACTCTTGACTACCAAGGAATGTTTTTCATCAATTTCACTGTAAACTATGGGGTTACTAGTAAATAAATGAAATATGCAAATTATTATAATAAAACTTGTCAGAGTCATTGAAAATTGACCCAGTAATGTGAAGTTTTAGCAACTTATTGCTATTTGATGATTGTTTCCCTAGGGACCGTGAGATCCAGTTTTATGAGCTGTCATCTTTTGAACCCTACTGCCAGATCAGTGGACTGGAGACTGTGCCTCTCAAGATTGATTACTGGTGAGTGAGGGCAGGGGAATCAATTGACTGCAATTTAAATTGTAATTATCAATTAATTGTTTGTGAAAGAATTTGTTATAATATCAGTTATCCCATTCTTACATCATGAAGTATACATACTGCCTGATAAAGCAAATTTCACAAAAGGGAGCATACATGGATGTGATAAAAATGCAACTCTCTGTTCTCCCATCTATTGCACTAATTTTGGAACATGGGATATTTATTTGAGAGAGAGAGAGAGAGAACATTAGTGAGTAAGAGAGAGAGAGGTCAGGGCCGTGCTAATCTATATTTGATTGTCTGGATTGTGCCTAGTAGGGTTGAGCCAACTTGGCTGTAAAGACACCATTTATGTTTACATTTGGTTATCAGACTATTTTTCTCCAGATATAAAAACCAAGCTGGGTAATTTTGTTTTATTGCTTTATTGCTGATTCTGACCTCAGTTAACCTAACTGGTTTGTAGACATGCAATTATGCCTAAATTCATTCTATTCCCCTTAACTTTACAAGTCTTGATTTTCTGCAAGTTAAACACTGACTGGACTCACACATATTTCTGTGTAGGATATTTGAAACACATGCTGGGCATTTTGGAATAAATGTCCCCACGCTATTGAAAATTGGTATTTTCACATATAAAGTCAACACTTTGACATAAATAAATTTAGTTCATTATTTGTAAAGTGTTGGGAAAAATACCTACCTGTAATAGGAGAGTGCAGATGTTCCCAGTTGCATTAATCTTCTGATAATAGCATATTTGATGTTTGTTTATTTATCTGTTTATTTATCTGTTTATTTATTCATTTCAGTGGCACAGGTCCTGATGAGTGTCTGATCCTGTATGGGGATAGTATTGGCTGTATCAACATCCTGTCCATAGAGAACACAGGGGAGTGCCTGCGGCTGTGGAAGAAGATGCCTAAGGTGGAGGGGATAGCCACAGTGGGGATAGAGGCCGTGGCTGGGGGAGGAATGACCAAGTTCATCAGGTGGAAGGTCCATGGAGACTGGGTTCAGGAGGTCAGTGAATAGTCCTACTGTTTTATGTTTTTTCTTCTTTCTTCTGGCTGTTCTGGTGGCAAATATTTTAAAAAACAAAGAAGAGGCTAAAACTGTTGTAGGTTAAGAGGCAGCAGTTGGGTAGAATGAGGAGAGGGAGGGAGGGAGAGACAGGAGAAGTTTGATCATCTAGGCTGATTTCAATTCAGGGTTTTCAGTCTAAGAATCCAAGCTCTCAGTTGGTCTTCCCCAATCTTTCTGCTATATTTGGTATATATTTTGATATTTTTATATTTACAGGTGAAGTACTATGATGAAATTGGACAGGTGATTTCTTGTTCTAATCATTCCCAGACAGCACTAGTCATAGGTAAGATATTATTTATAAATTATGCTTTTTTTTTGGTGAAAGGGTAAATTGGGATAACTTGATGTGATTTTTTAAAAATACGAAAAGATTTTTAAAGGTTTACAGCTAGCTGCAGGAAAATTATTTTTTGAAAGAAAACTTTTTGTTACTTGCGGTATGTGGAGTATTGTGGAACAGCATTTTATTCATATTTTATCATCAGGACATGTTTTAACGTATAAACTATTTGGTCACTCTGCCTTGTCCATTACCAGGTTGTACATCAGGTAGCACCAATGTTGACCAGCAGTTGAAGGACACCAAGGACTCAAACACACTGGTGGATAACTCCTCCAAGGGTAAAAACAAGACGAACACGGCTTATGCTGTTCCTAAAGAACGCCTCCCTTCAGACCAACATGTCTTCAGGGTGTATAAAGGAGTGAAGACTTTTGCTTTCTCTAAGGATAAGAACACACTGGTGACAGGAGGTGAGTACCCTGAGGTTCATATCTAGTGTGTGAAAATTTCTTTGTTTTCATTTTCTGTATATAGATATGGAGATTTGAAAATGGAGAAGCTGGCACAGGTCACATCTGACACTTGTGGTAGAAGTTGATTTCAGACTGACTTTAAACTAAAATTACTTTATGTTGTAAATTGTATCGCCAGCAGATCATATTAATTCATTAATGACTAAATACTTGAAACATTTTATTTGTTATGTTTTGATTGAGTTGGAGAAATTGAAAAATTAAACTAAATAATGATAAAAAATTGAGAGCTAGTAATTATAAATGGTTTCTTATATCACTTCAGGTATGGACAGGATAGTAAGAATGTGGAACCCTTATGTGCCAGCGTAAGTCGTCTGCTTTTGTCTTAAATCGGCTTCATTTCATTGATTATTTTAAATACTAAATTTGATTGTTAAGGAGATCTTTATGGATATAGAGAAAAATTGTTTTAGTGAAATTCTAGCTTTAATTGGACCCACTTGGCTACTAAGTAAAATAACTCTTTGCAGTTAAATATTATTGACAGTAAGTTCACTGAATGGTTTATTTTGAGGTCATTTTTTTTATTCAGAAAACCAACAGGGATGCTACGAGGTCACAATGCTCCCATTTTCTACTTGTTTGTTTCTGAGGAAGATGACAGGATCTTCAGTATATCCACAGACAAATGTGTGAAGGTAAGATGAATAACAAAATAACACAGAGTACGTGAAATGAATAAAAATATTTCTTTTTATTTTTAAAATACTTATTCATTTACAATTAATTTTGTTATTTTTGAATTACATTTTCTATTTTTTGAAGTAGTATATCAGCCTCATAATGATCCTATGATCAATCTGTTATATGAAATTGAGAATCTCTACACCTATGTGACTGGTCAGATTATTGCTAATCCCCCTGTTGATCTCCACTTAGGTCTGGGATATTCAAGACCAGAACTGTCTGGTAACAGTACGTCCAAAGAGTCACAAAATCCGGGGTGACTTGCAGTCCTGCTATTACTCTGCCCCTAACAAATGTCTAGTAGTGGCCACTGACCAAATATCTCTACTGGCCATCAAGTCCAGGTAAGTTAACTCCAGGANATATTTGGAATTTGCTCATTGCATTATATATATCATGCATTAAGATTTGCTGGGTTTTATAAGCTTTGGATAATTTGATTCCTGTAGTGTGTTGCAGATTACAGCAGATTAATATTAAAGATAAGAGTCAAATAAAAAAGAAAATTAAATGCAAAGTTTCAGAAACATTTCAAACTATTTCAAACTATTGTAAAAATAGTTTAAGACCCAAAGTCTAAAAGTTTAAAACCATTAACTCACAGTTAATTTTCCAATATTTTATCTTAAGTCTTCACTCTCCCAAATTAGGAAACCTACCCTAACCATCCCTTCCCCATGTGCACCCCTCAATATACACTCCCCAGATATAACCAAAAGTAGTTATAAGAGAAAATAATTACATTTACTAATGGACATTTTTAACTGGAGGTGTTGGGAGGCAAATTGAGATATGTCTAGCACTGGTGTTAGCAGATTGTTATATGGGTAAAATTTATTTATGGTTATATCCAGTTTACCACATAAGCTTATGAGGCACTTATTTTTTTATTCTGTCCATTTTACTGTATTAAATTTTAAAGGCACCTTTTCACCAGACATATGTATAGGGCAAAATGCATGCAATTATCATTATAATAATTTTTGCATGTTAATTTTGGGAACCACTGTAACTGGTGATCAGAATTATTGAACTTCTGTTTGATCTTTTTGACTTATGAAATCTTTTCACTTTTGCAAAGATGTTTTTTTTGCATAAAGATAAAAAGAATACTTCTACTGTTGAATGCTCTGGCTTGTTAGCTCCTTTGATATTTGCAGTGAAGTCTTGGATTTTATGATTAATAGTTATAAATACAACCTCCTATATTTGAATGTATTTTTTTTTTTTTGGCATTTTGTCTCTCCAAAAATTTTCTCAGTTGCAATAAATATAGTACTTAGTTAAAGAGTATTAAATGTGGAAACTGTATTTTACAAAATGACAACACACACCAACCATTACTCTAGTGCTGCCTGTTCATATAATCTCCTTTTTTCACAGGAACAACAAATTGATGCCTTATTTTACAAAATTGACTACTCTTCTGATGGGCTCATCACATGGGATGAGTTCTGTACATACATGCAGCTGGAGTATGCTGAGAAGGAAGATTCATACAGGCGACTTAAAGATGTGTCCTTCCAGCTGCCTGCCAGGATAGAAACAACGCCTCACAGGGACACTGTGCTTAAGATAACTGACGCGTCAGACGGGACCATTCTTGCTTGTAGCCAGGTAGGTGGTATGGCAGTATTTGATGTTTGTTTTTTAAATTTTTTTACATGTTTTTTCAAAGAGATTTTAATGAGTCTTATTGACAAATAATATGTGAAAATTATTGCATCATGAAAAGTAGAAATTTCACCTGTTGAAAATAGGAAAAATGAATGATGAATTGCACTATAAAACAGACTTTTTACAAGATTTGAAAATAACGAACACGGGTAGGAGATATTTATATGTGATGGAAGAAGCTTAAATTTATGATCACGGCTTTTCAATTTAGAGCTTGATTGACACTTTGACTGAAATTTAATCATTATAGAATAGCAAATGATTCTGTGTATTTTATATTTCCAGGATGGCACTGTGTCTTTCTGGAATGGCAATCTTGATTTGAAGAGAGTCAGGTCTATTGTGGTAAGATGGTAACGCTTTGGCAGGTTCTGTAGCTTGTACTAGTAAAGTAATACATAGTAAAAAATACATGTATCGTAAAACATCAAAAAATAAAAACTAGTAGTTCTTTTCATAAAGTTTTTTATGATGACTTATCCAGCATGTGTTTTGTGTAATATGGAGAAAATTCAACAAATTTTATTAATTCCATAATGCTTTTTGTAAAAAGAATTAGTAGCATAGCTGCATGTGAAAATTAATGTAGAAGTATTGGTAATTAAACCTTACCTCTTTCCTTGTTGAACAGCCCAATGATCCTGCCATGAAACCCAAGCAGAAGTGGATCACAGACATGGTCCTGATGCCACAGTTTAACAAAATCATTGTAGTTACAGGGTAAGACTATCCCCTTCAACACACACCCCCCATACTTCAAAAAATTTACATATCTGTGAATGTATGCTGTATATTCTTGACTGCTAAGGAATGTTTTGCACCATTCTCAATGTTAACTATTGTGTTACTAGTAAATAAATGAAATATGCATAAGATTGCTATATGGTGTGCTGCCTTTGTGACCTTAAATATGTTTTCATTTATTATAATAAAACTTGTCAGAGTAATTGAAAATTGTCCCAATAATGTAAAATTTTAGCAATTTATTGATATTTGATGATTGTTTTCCTTAGGGACCGTGAGATCCAGTTTTATGAGCTGTCATCTTTTGAACCCTACTGCCAGATCAGTGGACTGGAGACTGTGCCTCTCAAGATTGATTACTGGTGAGTGAGGGCAGGGGAATTAATTGATTGCAATTTAAATTGTAATTATCAATTAATTGTTTGTGAAAGAATTTGTTATAATATCAGTTATCCCATTCTTACATCATGAAGTATACATACAGCCTGATTATTTTGTGATAAAAATGCAACTCTCTGTTCTCCTATCTATTGTGCTAATTTTGGGACATGGGGTTTCCATTTGAGAGAGAGAACATCAGTGAATGAGAGAGAAAGAGAAGTCAGTGGTGTGCTTATCTATATTTGATTGTCTGGATTTTGAGGAGTAGGATTGAGCCAACTTGGCTGTAAAGACACCATTTATGTTTACATTTGGTTATCAGACTTTATCTCTCCAGATATCTTCAAACCAAGTAATTTTGTTTTATTGCTTTATTGCTGATTCTGACCTCAGTCAACCTAACTGGTTTGTAGACATGCAATTATGCCTAAATTCATTCCATTCCCCTTAACTTTACAAGCCTTGATTTTCTGCAAGTTTAACACTGTACCCACACATTTCTGCATAGGATATTTGAAACACATGCAGGGCATTTGTAATAAATGTCCCCTTGCTATTGAAAATTGGTATTTTCACACATAAAATCAACACTTTGACATTAATAATTTTAATTCATCATTCATAAAATGTTGGGAAAAATACCCATAAGTGGAGAGTGCAGATGTTCCCAGTTGCATTAATCTTCTGATAATAACATATTTGATGTTTGTATATTTAACTGTTCACTCCTTCATTCCAGTGGCACAGGTCCTGATGAGTGTTTGATCCTGTATGGGGATAGTATTGGCTGTATCAACATCCTGTCCATAGAGAACACAGGGGAGTGCCTGAGGCTGTGGAAGAAGATGCCCAAGGTGGAGGGGATAGCCACAGTGGGGATAGAGGCCGTGGCTGGGGGAGGAATGACCAAGTTCATCAGGTGGAAGGTCCATGGAGACTGGGTTCAGGAGGTCAGTGAATAGTCATACTGTTTTATGTTTTTTCTTCTTTCTTCTGGCTGTTCTGGTGGCAAATATTTTAAAAAACAAAGAAGAGGCTAAAACTGTTGTAGGTTAAGAGGCAGCAGTTGGGTAGAATGAGGAGAGGGAGGGAGGGAGAGACAGGAGTAGTTTGATCATCTAGGCTGATTTCAATTCAGGGTTTTCAGTCTAAGAATCCAAGCTATCAGTTGGTCTTCCCCAATCTTTCTGCTATATTTGGTATATATTTTGATATTTTTATATTTACAGGTGAAGTACTATGATGAAATTGGACAGGTGATTTCTTGTTCTAATCATTCCCAGACAGCACTAGTCATAGGTAAGATATTATTTATAAATTATGCTTTTTTTTTTGGTGAAAGGGTAAATTGGGATAACTTGATGTGATTTTTTAAAAATACGAAAAGATTTTTAAAGGTTTACAGCTAGCTGCAGGAAAATTATTTTTTGAAAGAAAACTTTTTGTTACTTGCGGTATGTGGAGTATTGTGGAACAGCATTTTATTCATATTTTATCATATGGACATGTTTTAACGTATAAACTATTTGGTCACTCTGCCTTGTCCATTACCAGGTTGTACATCAGGTAGTACCAATGTTGACCAGCAGTTGAAGGACACCAAGGACTCAAACACACTGGTGGATAACTCCTCCAAGGGTAAAAACAAGACGAACACGGCTTATGCTGTTCCTAAAGAACGCCTCCCTTCAGACCAACATGTCTTCAGGGTGTATAAAGGAGTGAAGACTTTTGCTTTCTCTAAGGATAAGAACACCCTGGTGACAGGAGGTGAGTACCCTGAGGTTCATATCTAGTGTGTGAAAATTTCTTTGTTTTCATTTTCTGTATATGGATATGAAGTTTGAAAATGGAGAGGCTGGCACAGGTCACATCTGACACTCACGGTAGAAGTTGATTTCAGACTGACTTTAAACTAAAATTACTTTATGTTGTAAATTGTATTGCCAGCAGATCATATTAATTCATTAATGACTAAATACTTGAAACATTTTATTTGTTATGTTTTTATTGAATTAAAGAAATTGAAAAATTAAACTAAATAATGATAAAAAATTGAGAGCTAGTAATTGTTAATGGTACCTTACATCATTTCAGGTATGGACAGGATAGTAAGAATGTGGAACCCTTATGTGCCAGCGTAAGTCGTCTGCTTTTGTCTTTAATCAGCTTTATTTCATTGCTCATTTTAAATGTTAAGCTTGATAAGTTGATTGTTAAGGAGATCTTTATAGGTATAGAGAAAAATTATTTCACTTAAAGTCAAGCTTGAGTTGGACCAATCTGTGGCTACTAAGTAAATTAACTTTTTGCAGTAAAATGTTACTGATGGTCTCTTCACGGAATGGTTAATTTTGAGTTCATATTTCTTATTCAGGAAACCAACAGGGATGCTACGAGGTCACAATGCTCCCATTTTCTACTTGTTTGTTTCTGAGGAAGATGACAGGATCTTCAGTATTTCCACAGACAAATGTGTGAAGGTAAGATGAATAACAAAATAACACAGAGTACGTGAAATGAATGAAAATATTTCTTTTTATTTTTAAAATACTTATTCATTTACAATTAATTTTGTTATTTTTGAATTACATTTTCTATTTTTTGAAGTAGTATATCAGCCTCATAATGATCCTATGATCAATCTGTTATATGAAATTGAGAATCTCTACACCTATGTGACTGGTCAGATTATTGCTAATCCCCCTGTTGATCTCCACTTAGGTCTGGGATATTCAAGACCAGAACTGTCTGGTAACAGTACGTCCAAAGAGTCACAAAATCCGGGGTGACTTGCAGTCCTGCTATTACTCTGCCCCTAACAAATGTCTAGTAGTGGCCACTGACCAAATATCTCTACTGGCCATCAAGTCCAGGTAAGTTAACTCCAGGTTAACTCCTGGTTAACTCCAGGAGAGAGACATGGCGAAGGCCGTGGTTCAATATATAAGTTGACTTAGTATGATATATGTTAGTATATATGCTCACATTAGCTTTGGTTGTCCACTTGTGTTTTCATCATTATTGTAGTGTAAATTGCTATTGCTTGTTATTAAAAACAAAGTTTATTGACTGCTGAGAATGTATAGGAAATGTATGAATTCAAAGCAATTATTTGACAAATTATTATAGATGATTTAAATTTCTATATATTTCATATTTTATTATCACTCAACATTTAGAAAAGTACACATAGATGACTTAGTGTGGTCATTATAGAAAACCCGCTTCTGAAAATGAGTTCATGTGAAACAAGTTAAGGATACTGAGACTGTTGCTATTTATTATTCAGGCCAATCTTACAAGCAGAAATAGTCCTGACTCACAGAGACCCAGTCCATACAGCCAGATACAACCCTCAGTTCAAACAAATCATCACATGCTCAGCTGCCTCAGTAAGTGTGGATGTATTTTCTTCCAGACTTAATGTGCTTGTATGCATGGTACTTGCATTTGTATGTCAGTGTATATGCATGTGTATATATGGGCATGCACACTTGTGTGTGTTCCTTTTACATATTCAGTCAGTCTGATACATGGATTTCCTTTGTCTGTATTCCAGTTTCTCTGCCGATGCTTGTATGTGAATTGAAGGCTAACTATTAGTTGCTTTTCTTTAGTTGATATTATATATATATATACACTCTATACTGATTTATTTACTAATGAAGTTTTGTCACTTATGTACAAATGTTTATGTTTACAATGGAAATAAAAAATTCATCCATGTATTGTATGTTAAGAGTATGAAATTAATTTGAATACAGATATAGTCAAGAGGTTGCTTTAAGTGGTTATGTTTGTGTATTTTGTAGACAGTGAAGCTATGGGATTTTGAAAGTGGCAACCCAATCTTTGACTTCAGTAATGCTCATGGGGATGCTGCCATCACATGTTTGTGCTTTGATAACACAGGCAGAAGGTAATATAGGCCACTTGTATATAAATATAGTTTATAGAATTAGCACCAGTCATATGGCAAATGCCAGTAAAAGGTCCATAAATTTGTTCAATTACTTACCACTTCTTCGATTTGGGCTTCTAAGTTCTTAGACCATGGCAGTTGGAAGGCCTTTTTTGCGCAAATTGTAATATATTTACTTAAGTATAATACAATCTGATCTAGAACAAAATAATGTTGGGATAGAACTACAAACTAATTATGTACATAAAAACCTGGAATGTGTACTAATTCTGTCTTGTGAAAAAAGAATTAAATCATATAATACTTGGAAGATAGCATTGTTTGGTAGCTGTGTTTCTTGGTTAAATGATCAAAAGCAAAATTTTGGTCCTGAAATTAATTTTATTTGATTGTAGGTGTATCACTGGTGCCAGAGATGGCTGTCTTAAAATATGGAACTACAACAATGGACATTGTCTCAGGGTTTTAATGAAAGGTAGTAGTATTATTATTAATATATATTTATTGTTATAATAATTATTTGAATGTCTCATTTTCTAGTGAAGGCACTTTTGTGAGGGTGAATTTTGCTAAATTTTTTAATTGCTTTTATTATAAACTCTTTCCATCCATCTTGCCTCGATTTCATCAGTTGCATCTCTTTTAATTCTTTTCTGATGGTTGAAACTATAAATAAAACTGTCACTAAGATCTGAATAGATAAAATTATCATGGTTTGGTTAAATCAATATCATTTATGGAATTGATGATATTTCTTCCTCATTTTACAGAGTCTGGCAATGATGAGATTTGTTCCTGTGCATATATAGAAATGAACAAGAATAGGTAAGTCAAGGAGCAGAGAACATTGCTTTGTAGTGAATACCATAATGTAAATATTTATAGTAAATGTTAGTGGCAAATTAACCTACATATTCATATGCAACATTAACATTTGACTATTTTTCTAGCTTGGTAACCTTTCTTTTCTGTAATTCTTCCTGTGATCTTTTAAATGTATATAGACTTATCTCATATTTATCCTTTAATACTAATCTTCAGTGGGAGATTACTGTGTCTCATGCTAAAAGTTGCCATTAAATTTTTTGTTTAATTTCTTTAAAAACTTCTTTAATTAGTAAGACTGGAATATATAAAAGGTATAGCTGTTTGGGTTCAAATGCAGTTGATGCATCATGATTCTTATTGACGTTATATTCATTTCTTGTTTGAATTTGTGCAGAGATTTGATGTTCAGAATAATAAGGCCATGGTTAATTCTCTGTTTGGTAAAGATTTTTTTTAATTATAATATTTAATTTTTTTTAAAAACATGGGTGTTAACATCATACATGGCTTAGTTGTTTGGTAATGATTTCCCCAGTCTTCTTAGTTAAATTTTAGTTAATATTTTGTGTTATCATCTTTTTATTTGTTCAGTTGATAATAATTTTTTCCAATACTACTGTGATACAGGAAGTTACTTGATGTTAACACAGAAATTGAAATCAGACCACAGAGGTAGATGTTTGCAAGCTGTCTTGCATACAACATCATAGAGCTTGAGTTTATATCTTGAGTTTATACAGCAAATTAGGCAGTGATATTCAGGGTGCTTTTAAAGATTTTGTAAAAGTCATTCTCAGAAGTATGAACAGAAAATTAGGTGGCGATATTAAGGATGCTTTTAGAGATTTTAAAAAGTCATTTTTGAGAGTTTAGACAGCAAATTAGGCAATGGTATTTAGGGCGCTATTAAAGACTTATGTTTTGCAGTTGGTGCATATTGAGCAGAAAATCTACACTTTTCTTTGTAAATACCAATGACATGCTTAAATTGTAAACAGTGTATTATTCAATTTGATATACATATGATTAGACATAGACATGCTTGCAGATCTCTTTGCTCGGTGTCAAAGACTATATTTCCTCATGAGGCTTGGGATTTGAAATTACAGCTAATTGCTTGTTAGATAGAACAATTTTTTGACTTAATGACAATGATTTTTTTTTTTTGACATACAAATGAAATTTATTATGTGATCTTTTATGGCAATGTCCCATTAATATGTTTGTTATTATTACTGCTCTTGATAACTTTTTAGTTGCTATTTGAAGGCATTTTTGTGTTTTTGTGTGGGTTTCTGTGCAGTCTTTTTTTCTTTTTTGCTTGTGCGTGTTTGATTGCTCATATTAAAAGGGAAAGCTTTACATTCATGTTGGATATGCTTTAATGATAAGCACATAAATATTAAGTTAATATAATCAATATTTTTCCTTAATCAAGTACATTGTTGGAAAATATTTTATGAATTGAAAAGGCACCATGTCAGTGGGCACAACTTTGATTTGTGAAGTAAAATGTAATAAGTAAATAATCAATTAACCAGTTTCATCTCGTGTGTATCCTGGTATTTTGCTTTACAATTATTGTGTTTTTGATATTAATGATAATAGTTTTCAGCTTAATGAATCAGAACTTAAATATGTTCACTGATTGCACAAAATGCTTATGGTAACAATAGTCTTGTAAAACTTCAACTTTTAAGTTGCAGTTATATTTCAAATCAATTTCTATAACACCTGCTGTTCACTTCAGGTATGTGGTATCTGTGGGCTGGGACCATAGAGTCAATATCTACTCTGATGACCAAGACGATGATGATGTCAGACATACCATTGACCCACAGCCTCCTTGGCAGGATGACCTGGTCAGTAAATGGACACTCAGAATGGATAAATTTTTAATAGAATAATATAATAGTGTATAGATAAAAATTGGTCTAAATTTCAGAAGAATACACTGGATTACAGTATCCTGCTGTGAAATCCTGCCTTGACTGACATATTTAAGTGGTCAGTGCATCCCTCCCCCCCTCCTGTCTAAAGTTCTGAATCTGTAATTTGATACCTAGGTCTGCTGATAACTCCTGTGACAAATTTGCAGCAAATTTGCAAGAATGGATTTTATGTTCTTGCAAACTGTTCCAAACAAGCAGCAATACAAATTGTTCTTGCAAACGCCTTGCTGCAAACTTTTTTGCTTTTACAAGGGGGCCCAGATATACTAAAATATCATAATATTATTATTTCAGGAAAATGGTCATAAGGAGGACATTCTTTCTGTGGCTTTCTGTCCACCCAATCTTCTGGCCACGTCCAGTTATGATGGAGAGGTCATTGTATGGAACATGGTGTCTGGACACATCTTCTGCCACCTGTTTGCTCCAGTACCTAAGGGATACAAAGACCAGTCATGTAGGTGTTGTGTTTGTAGACCAAATAATATCAGTCAACTTTGACCTAAGATAAGTCAGTAATAGTCTAAGTAAGTGGTTGTCTTATAAAGAAAAGAAATGGCTTATGTTTTAGAACAATTGTTTATTTAGTAGACTATCACAGATTGATTGACTCCAGTTGTGATAAATCAATAATCAATTTTTTAACAAGGGGGCCTGCCAGCTCTAGAAATAGAAGATATTTTTAACAAATCCCAAAACAATGATACGTATTTGCATATTAACAAAACTGTCCATGTTTCAGTGGATGGCGACTTAAGCATCAACAAGCTGTTGTTTTTGAGATCCCGAGCATACAAGAAGGATGCAGCATCTCTCATTGCAGGAGGACCCAGAGGTTACCTTCACTTCTGGAATGTGTTCCATGGAGGTTCTCTGTACGCCCAGTTTACAGGGGTAAGATACTTTGTATGGTTGGTTCAGTGGTGGAGCATGAGGTTGACATTTGAGCAAAATGGCTTGGAAAAATTTGGACATATTAGAATCTTTTTGCACTAGTGGTTTAAGGATATCAAAAAAAAAAAAAAAAAAAAATTGACAAACCTGAAGTTCATATAGATTATACAAATTAGGTAAATTGCTCTAGCAAGGAATTTAAAGAAAGTTTAATCTACAAGAAGATATATGGGATGAGTCTTTTGGATTAAAATCTTCTACAGTGTATGAAAGTACAAAGCAAAAAGTTTTTTATGCAATGAATAACAAGTCTTTACATTTGAAAGCTTGAATTAAGTAATGAGTTGTAATAATAAAGTAATTGTGGCATTTTTATCCAAATTTTTAATACTTCTATTTAGACCAAACACACAGGTGCTATGGTCACAGCCATGGAGTTATACAAGAATGACACCATTCTGTTCACTGCTGACAGTGTGGGATTCATCTACTGTTGGAATGTGGAAGGTTACTGTGCTAAGAGCAAGGCAACTGACTCACCAGAGTGTAAGTATGGACAATATATGAAAAACATTATTCTGACAAAATAAATTATTGCAATATTATGCTTAATTTAATTTAATTTTATTTCATTTCATGTCATCTTATTTTATTTTATTTTGATTTAGTAATTAGAAAAAAAATTAATGAGAATGTAGACTTTTCAACAAGTATAAACAAAGAACTGTTTTCTTTTCCAGTGATAACCTACTGGCGTGGTCATGTAGAGAGTATAACCAATATAGATGTAATTGAAGAACACAAAATGATGATCAGCTCTTCTCTAGACTGTACAGTAAGACTCTGGACAATAGAGGGACATTATGTTGGTAAGGAAACAGCATAAAAACATAGGAGGATTAGTGAATTCCAGGTTTTTGCTAAAGGGAGGGTTTCATTTCAGAACTTCTCTCATGAGGATAAAAAATTTACCCCCTCCACTATAAAGAAAACAAACACACCATAGTGTACAAGACCAGCTATTCAGAAACTTTAAATCATCCAATTATGGCAGTTTATAAATTTACACTGAGTATTATTTTCACTGACATTTTCTTTTGATAATTAAAAGCTAGTAATATATAGCATTTAGAAATGGACAGTATTATGTTCACCAAGCTGACCATTTCCTCCTATCACCCATCACCAGGTACATTAGGCCAGCCAGACCCCTGGGATGTGTTCAACCCCAATACCTTCCAACACCCCATGGTGCCCTATGACGTCCTGGTGGACCCCAAGAGCTTGCCGTCCCACCCTGTCATAGCAGGAAAACTGAACTTGGAGGAGGTTCTACATGGTGATAAGAAGAAAGATAAGGTAAGTTGTACAGGGATGGATGGCATATGATCGGAGGGTCTCTGATTGTAATAGACTTGAAGAGATTTATGGACCTGGGGCTTGAGTTTTAGACCGTTTTAATTTGCGATGGATTGATAGTAGTCCACTTTAAATAAGTGGCAGGTCTGAAACTTAAGCTATGGTTCTCCAGTAATGAGATAGACACAGTATTTTATTTAATTTTAATACTGCTACTGATTTATTTGGTATAAATTGGACTAAATTTTTCATTTAAAAGTTTTTGGGCTACAGGTATTATACTGTGAGACAGACACCAGGTGCTGGTTTTTCACAAGAGAACTTCAAACTAAGTTTGGTCTTAACTTTTAGACCAGAATTTTGTTTACATTTATCCAAGGTAAATCAGAAGTTTTCTAATTGGATAATTAAAGGGAGTGATAAGTATCCACATTTACCCTCAATTGAAATAGAATGTTTTTTTTTATTTATTCTTAAAGTTTAGACCAGCTTTCAGTTGAAGTTCTTGTGTGAAACAGAGCCATGTTAAAAAACCTAGCTCAGTTAATATCTCTTTTAATTGAAAGGAATTTATGAAAATGATGCAAATTCATTTAACATGTGTGTTTATTGAAAATTTAATAAATAATATTGTTTTGTCTTTACAATAGACTATTGACTAAGTACAGTATATTATTTAACATGTTTTATCTGAAAATCAGTTAATCAAAAATTTCCTTGTGGCCTTTCCAGGTAGAAGAGAAGATCCCGCCAGCCCCTGTATATGGTGAACAGACTTCTTATTTTGTGGATGATGCCACTATAGCAGAACAGATCAAACAGAAACCCTTCAATAAGGGGACAGGGAAAAGGTAAGTATTCAAATAGCAAATATGGTACACTTTAATATCAGTTACAATGACCTTGTGTAAATGATAAACACTGTGTGGTTATTGAAAAAAAAAGCGGCATTGAGTTTGTATTTATTATTATTAGTATTTTTTTTTTCATAATTAAATATTCAATATTTTCAGAGTCAGGCATGAGCGTATGAAAGCGCGCCAGATGAAGATTGATCGTGATGGTCCCAGTGAATACAGACTTCTACAGACATTCCCCCTGGTGGAAACTCCAGACATTAAACCCCCTGAGATATCAGGACACAATGACGACCCTTTCAATTTTTACGATGATTGAGCATGTTTAGAGACAGCCAACCAGGGTTAGGATAATTGAAATAATGGTGAATAGAAGGTGGAATACAAGCGATTCCAGAGCTGTCCTTGGTAGCACTGAATATACCAGCAGTTACACAGGCAATAGCAGTTCCAGTTGCAAGGGATATTTTCAATCCAACATGATGAGTCACTAAATTGAAAAAAAAAAATAACAAGCTGTTTTAGGGACAGGTTAACTCCAGTCAACTTCATGTTAAGCACCTTTCTTTTGATTATTTGTCATCGCATGCTTGCCATTGCTTCTCTCCTTGCTTGGACCATATATGTACATGAGGATTGTTTTCAACAATACATTGGCATAAGATACAGCTTAATATTGCATAAGTAACAAATATGAAAATAATTTTTACATGAAATTGGACCACATTATTACTGTTTTTCTAAGCTTTGTCACACGATTGTTTGGAATT